TTGTTACTCTTGGTGTAAAGTCACCAGCTGAGAGTCTCTCTCAACTCTGTTCACGCTACCACAGGTTGCTGGGGGTCCCCCTCCCTGCGTCTGTGCCTCGAGGCCGGCACTCCGCGTGCATCGCCCGGGGCGGATTCTCGACTGCGTCGGGCAGCAGTCCGCAGGGAGCGGGCGTCTTGGTGCCCGCGGTGCGCACGCTTCAAGGGCAAAGGAAGACAGCCGGGAGGAGACGAGGCCGTGACAATAACACGCCGCACTTTCTACTGGAACCCCTCGTGTGTATACATATACTGCTGTACGTATACAGGGTGTGTCAGCACATGTACGTACACGTGTGTGTTTACGTGTACTGTACTATATATGCATGTATACGTGTGTGTATGTCTATTTAGATTGTACGTCTGTGCGTGTTCATACACGTTAATATATGTATGCAAATGTCTGTATGTATGTATCACAACAACCTGAGTTCGATTTCCACGAACTGTACAGATCAATGACAATTGTATGAACTAGCCTCAGAAGACTACCTGCTGCGGGAAGTCAACATCAGCACTGGGGAGATAAAGACAGCCAGGCGTGGTGCTGCCACACACCCCCTCGTGTGCCATGTCGGCCTTCATTGATGATGCTCGCTTACAGCACTTGCCCCATCAGTCTTTTAAAGGCAATACGGGGGATTTTTTTTTATTTGTACCTACAAGTTCGTCTGTGTATGTATACCGTTATATACTGTATTTGTATTGAGTATATGTGGAACGTGTGCACACATCTATGTTATAATACTATGTGGATGCATACATGCGTGTTTATACGGTATTACGATGAAAATTGGTTTATTGCATTACCGGTAACCGAATGAATTAATCGGTAAAATCCGGTTGCCGGTTTCCAGTACAATTTGAAAGTCTAGAGTAGGTGTAGGAAACCAAACATAACAGGAAGATTCATTTTTTTTCGAATTCGGAAAGAAAAAAACCCCGCAATAATTCAAGAGCCGCAATGCACTGTGGTGAGCACGAGCTGGTGGGTCCTGAATAAAGAACGTCACGAAGCAGTCCTTAAAGAGCCGCATACGGCTCCGGAGCAGCAGGTTGCCGACCCCTGGTCTAGAGCAATAAACATAACGCGTTTACATTTCACGCTGAGACATTGGAGGGGCGGCCACGGTGGTGTAATGGTGAGCGCGCTGGGTGTGCAATCCAGAGGCAGACGGGGTTCGGTTCAAGTTCCCGGCGCTGCAGTTGGGACAACGGCCGCGGTTTTTTCAACCCCCGTGTCGCTGTCCCCCAGCGGTGTCAATGGTGCTCCGCAGATCGCCGATCGGCCTAAATACTGTTCGTGTCTAATTACGGTGGTGCGTTTGGTGGTGTTAACGTGGAAGAGTAGACCAAATACTCTCTCGAGCTTCCTCGAATGGAGGAGGCCTTTCCACCAGCAGTGTGCGTGAGCAAGCAATTGCAGGGTCGCGGCTCGATCAACCATGTGGGGACTAATGCCGGCCCACGTGGAGATCGCTGTCCCTTGCGCTGCCGTCGGCCAATCAGCGTCGCACGCGCCGTGCCGTTCCATTTATAACGTTCCACAGGACATAGTTTATCGGTTCCTGATTTTTGGAACAAACACAAACATCGATAATACAGACGGTTAGCTGGTTGTCGTTCAACAAATATTTTGTATACACGTGTGCATCTAGATAATACGTGTACAGGTATGCGTTGTACGTGTATTTTGGTTTATTTGCGTGCAATGTGTGTACACATCTGTGTGTATGTGCACCTAGCCTGGCGCAAGCGCCGTGGGACATCACCCCCACTTCGTGGCGAATAACGGCTGTTGTATAATTAAATGTGTGCATACGTGTAGAGATGTTTGTGTATCTATAACAGTGCGTGTGTTTGTATAGTTGCATATTGTCGCGTCTGTATTCGTAATAAATATAGGTGCGTATGGGGAAACAAAGGCGGTCGGGCATGGTGTTGACCACCCACCCTCTCGTGTGCTCGCAAACAGCACTTTTCCCACGAGTTTGTGACAGAAGATATTTGTATGTGTCTATGTAGACGTGTGTGTACATAATAAGGTGTGCATAATGTGTTTTTGTGTTTGTGTACTCATTATTGCCGACCACGAAGTGAATGTGCTTTTCCTACGCGCCCAATCTGGAGAGATCTAAGCACAAGCTAAGCAGGTTGGGCCTGGATCCTCCCGGGATGGGCGACCAAGGCTGCCACAGGGCCCTGTGGGGGTTACGTATTGGGCAGCAGAGGGCAGTGCAGTTAAATAAATAGTTGTACTGTACCGTCGTCCCCCCCCCCCATCCACGGTCCATGCTACCACGGTTCACCAACCCGCTCTGACGAGAGTGGTGCATATTCTTGGTTCTTTCGATAAAGTCACCACGTAGAAGGGAAACAATAAAATAATAAAAATATAAAACAATACAATTCTCACGACGTTTCGACCGCAACACAAGCAATCATCATCAGGTGTGAAAACCACAGCAATAAATTTTGAAAAAAGTGGCGGGTTTTTTTTAACGGTAGCACCACGGACAGCGATTTGGCAGTTATTCAGATGGACGAGTACATCCACAGTGAGGGAAAAAGTATTTGATCCCATGCTGATTTTGTACGTTTGCCCACTGACAAAGAAATGATCAGTCTATAATTTTAATGGTAGGTTTATTTAAACAGTGAGAAACAACAAAATCCAGAAAACCCCATGTCAAAAATGTTATCAATTGATTTGCATTTTAATGAGGGAAATAAGTATTTGACCCCCTTTCAATTAGAAAGATTTCTGTCTCCCAGGTGTCTTTTATACAGGTAACGAGCTGAGATTAGGGGCACACTCTTAAAGAGAGTGCTCCTAATCTCAGCTTGTTACCTGTATAAAAGACACCTGTCCACAGAAGCAATCAATCAATTAGATTCCAAACTCTCCACCATGGCCAAGACCAAAGAGCTCTCCAAGGATGTCAGGGACAAGATTGTAGACCTACACAAGGCTGGAATGGGCTACAAGACCATTGCCAAGCAGCTTGGTGAGAAGGTGACAACAGTTGGTGCGATTATTCGCAAATGGAAGAAACACAAAAGAACTGTCAATCTCCCTCGGCCTGGGGCTCCATGCAAGATCTCACCTCGTGGAGTTGCAATGATCATGAGAACGGTGAGGAATCAGCCCAGAACTACACGGGAGGATCTTGTCAATGATCTCAAGGCAGCTGGGACCATAGTCACCAAGAAAACAATTGGTAACACACTACACCGTGAAGGACTGAAATCCTGCAGCGCCCGCAAGGTCCCCCTGCTCAGGAAAGCACATATAATTGCCCGTCTGAAGTTTGCCAATGAACATCTGAATGATTCAGAGGACAACTGGGTGAAAGTGTTGTGGTCAGATGAGACCAAAATGGAGCTCTTTGGCATCAACTCAACTCGCCGTGTTTGGAGGAGGAATGCTGCCTATGACCCCAAGAACACCATCCCCACCGTCAAACATGGAGGTGGAAACATTATGCTTTGGGGGTGTTTTTCTGCTTAGGGGACAGGACAACTTCACCGCATCAAAGGGACGATGGACGGGGCCATGTACCGACAATTCTTGGGTGAGAACCTCCTTCCCTCAGCCAGGGCATTGAAAATGGGCCGTGGATGGGTATTCCAGCATGACAATGACCCAAAACACAGGCCGAGGCAACAAAGGAGTGGCTCAAGAAGAAGCACATTAAGGTCCTGGAGTGGCCTAGCCAGTCTGCAGACCTTAATCCCATAGAATATCTGTGGATGGAGCTGAAGGTTCGAGTTGCCAAACGTCAGCCTCGAAACCTTAATGACTTGGAGAAGATCTGCAAAGAGGAGTGGGACAAAATCCCTCCTGAGATGTGTGCAAACCTGGTGGTCAACTACAAGAAACGTCTAACCTCTGTGATTGCCAATAAGGGTTTTGCCACCAAGTACTAAGTCATGTTTTGCAGAGGGGTCAAATACTTATTTCCCTCATTAAAATGCAAATCAATTTATAACATTTTTGACATGCGTTTCTCTGGATTTTGTTGTTGTTATTCTGTCTCTCACTGTTCAAATAAACCTACCATTAAAATTATAGACTGATCATTTCTTTGTCAGTGGGAAAGCGTACAAAATCAGCGGGGGATCAAATACTTGTTTCCCTCACTGTATGTTCGGAAAAGATCAGGGGGGAGACGAAAATAATGGATGCGGTCTGAAAGCCAGCGTAAGCGTGAACAATCAATTAAGACCCGAAATGGTTTATCAAATCCTTCCAATGATTGCTAAGCCAGAATCCATCTTCTCGGTTGAAATTGTCTCTGTGTTTGTATATGTGGATAGCCTCATGAACGAATCTCGCATGGTAGCCAGATGGCTTGCAAAGAACCTCTGCCTTGGAGAAGTCAATGTCATGTGAGCCTACTGAATTATAACAGTGATCTGCCACGGCCGAGGTGTTGGTCCTACCGTGTTTTAGGTCTGCTTTGTGTTCACGAATGCAGTCCGAGACATGTCGTTTGGTTTCTCCAATGTAACTACTACCACCACATAGGCATCTTAGTTTGTAGACGCCAGGGTACTGAGAGTGGTGCAGTATGGCCAAATAACCCCCTTGACCTGCATGGCGTGGGGAGGCCCTCATCCAGCAGTGGAGTAACTCCTTAAGCAAAGTATCTGAATTACTCGTACGCGTACGTATGCGCATACATATAGTCACACGTGTGCACAACACACACGTGTACGCGTGTGTGTGTCCATATATGATTGCCACCCACCCTCCCGCACGCCCTATCCCCCGTAGAGGCCACGTGTGGAGGTCAGCGCTCAGAAATAGGCGAGGGGAAGTGGCGCTCCATTTAATTATTTATTTATCTACTCCATGGCCAACGCGAGGGGGGCGGCTTGGGCTCGAGAACGTCCCGAGGATGGAGGTGGGAGGGGGGAGGGAGGGAGGTGGGAGGAGACAGAGGCGGTGGTTGTTTGTGGGTGGTGGGAGTTGGTAGCGGTAGTCGTGGTTTTGGTGGTCGTGTGGAAATCAGCAGCCTCCCTCCCTCCCTGGCGAAGTGGAGATTTAAAAACCCGCTCGCCACAACCACAACCACCGCCAACCACGAATCCTGTCGGCTCGACTAGCGAGCGGCAGACGCGAGCCCGTGCGTGCACACGCATGCGTGTGCTTGCATGTGCTGCTGTACACGCGTGCGTGCACACGCATGCGTATACTCAAGGAGGCACCGTGGCGAAGTGAAGAAGAGCAGGCGCATGAAGACCAAGGAGACTTCATTTGCATTTCTCGTCGGCTCGCGGTGACACGCGGGGAGGACTCGGGGTGCCGGGGCTGAGCCGGGCGAGGGGACGAGAGGACCCCCACTGGGCTCCCCTCTCCCGTCCGCGGCGGGGAGAGGCGAGAGGGGACTCTGCGTGCGTAGTGCCGGAGACAGACAGGGAGTGCGAGACTGCGCGTCCCCTGTGCGTGAACATGTGTGTGTCTGTGTGTATCTACATGTGTCTGTGTGAACATGTGTGTGTCTGTGTGTATCTACACGTGTCCGTGTTTCTCTGTCAGTATAACTCTGTGCGTCTGTGTGTAACTGTGTCTGTGTGTTATCTCAGTGCATATCCGCATGACTGCATGTGTATGTCCGCCTGCCTGTGCGAGTCCTCTTGGTCATGTCTGTCTGTGTAATCACTCTTGTATCGTCTCCTGTCCGTGTCTGTCTCTCCATGTGCGAGCGCTGGTTGTGTGCGCTTGTATTATGTCTGTGTTAGCCCGTCAGTCACTCACAGATGCACAGGTAGGCGCTCACAGACTCAAACATAAACGCAGATGTACACGTACAGACACAAACGTATGCACGCACAGAAATACACACTCACACAGACTAACAACAGACATCGGAATTCGCCACTAAGTGGTGGTGACGTCACAACGGCGCTTGTGCCAGGCTAGGTGCACAGACCAACCCATATACATACAGAGACACACGGACATACATGCACATACGTACACAGAGATGTATATGTAGATTTTCAGGCACAAACAAACAGCATACTTACACAGATGGATACACAAAGATAGAGACACAGCCAAGCACATATATACACACAAGATATACACGCGAAAAGACAAGGACACACACACACACATCGAGACGCATATACACAGGCATACGGCTAGATACACACAGATTCACACGTACAGACGGGCAGACAAAGACACACACACGTCCACAAACACGCTCAGATAATCGAACAGGTATATAGATACAGACACACGTAGAAGTACAGACAGCCACGCACACGTAGATAGATAAACACACAAACAGACACACAGATAGACACGCAGACCCCCAACCCGCGGTGGAGGGTGCGCTCCCCGCCGTCCACCCATGGCAAACGGCGCAGCGGGGGGGAGCCCCCCGCGGGGCGACGCGGAGCCCCAGCAGCCCTCGCCAGCCATGCCCTCCCCGCCCAGCAGGGTCACGAACTTCTTCATCGAGAACATCCTCAGGCCCGAGTTCGGCCGCCGCAAGGAGGACTCCAACTCTGCTCGTCGCGAGCAGCAGCAGGAGGAGCAGGAGCAGTTGGAGGAAGCGAGGGTGCGGAGCGGTGAGAGGGTGCCGGGTCAGGTCGGCGTACTCACCCGACGTGAGGGTCGAGAGGTCAGCGGCAGAGTCAGCGCCGAGTCCTGCGGGACTCACGACAGCGACTCGTGCACGGAGGACCCCGCGGGAGGCAGAGAAGCACTCACCCCGGCCCACGACTCCCCGGCGAGCCGCGCTTCAGCGGAGCCCGGTTCAAAGCCCATGCTGTGGCCTGCCTGGGTGTACTGCACGCGCTATTCGGACCGGCCTTCCTCCGGTAAGAAAGGTCGCCTCCCGCCTGAGACCATCTCTCTTTCTCGATGAATATTCCCACTCCTTATGAACAGTTTTGACGCAATGTAAATGCGCATTGTAAACATGGTTTTGGAGGAATTTGATCACTATAATGAGACCAGCCTTCTGTCCGTCTACGCGATAATGAAACAACGTTTAGTGTTTATGCCAGGAGGACTTTAGGGCCTTACGTTAACCAGCATAATTTGTTTAAACGAGCGAGTTTCTACGTTTTGGGTCTCATCAGCAGAGCCAGGCTTGCTAAGGAAATGCTGCCGGGTTACCCCAAACCCACGGCGAGTAATCCCTCGTTTGATGTCCAGGGTAAGGTTCGCCACTGTCCTCGTTGGCGTTACCCTCCTCACCCCAAACCCTTCCATGCTATAAACATTATTACTACTACGGTGGAAGCAATTACAACCAGAAAATATGTATTATTATTCTCACATGTTCATATTCACACGAATTGTGGCGGGTCGCTTTTACCAATGTCACATAATAAGAATGTACAGCGAGCTGTGGCGTGAGCAAGAAATTGCAGGTCTGCACCTTTGCCTTTACCAAACAAGGTGCAGTGAGCCAGTCGTGTGTGTTGCACGTCCGGGGCGTCACGCGTGTCACTGCCATTGTCACGGCAAGGGGAATCCATCCATCGTAGTCCGCGTTAAAAGCGGCTTGTGGCTGCCATTATAGTACGTGCACAGACAAGCGTAACCAACAAACAACATCATCATCATCATAAGCCGTGATCAATCCACTGCTGCGTCGACGCCTCCTCGCCATCTCTCACGACCCTGCCGATGTATCGATGCACGAAGCAGCCGCACACGAGCTGATCTCATCGCTTCGCGGCGAGCGTCCTCTCACGCGCGTCCCTCTCATTTGGCAGCCATTCCGTTACCGGTCTCGCCCCATCGGCCATGTACGTACGTGTATGTTGAACTTCTTTCGCGCCGTACGTAGCAAACCGTGCTAATCGTAGTTGCGGGGGGCATCATGGTCCATTCTGAACGTGACGAGTCGTGTCCGAGCCCACACATTCCCCAAGAGTCACTGTGAGGTCTCCAACTGTTCTCTGATCCACGTGTTACTATTCCAGTCTCTGTCATTCCCAAATCTCCACGCTTATTTCAGCTTTCGTGAAATTGTGTTTGTCAACGCACATAATAGAGTACATGTGATACAAATTAAACACACACCATACACAAACACGCGCACACACGACAGCCGAAAGACACAGAAACACACCAGCACGAAGTTACACGCATAAACAGACACACACGATGCCACGCAGATATATACACGTAAAGACACATACACGCACACGTGAAGACACATACACGTGGAGACACATATATACGTGGAGGCACATGTGAGGACACACATACACGTGGAGACACACACACATGTGAAGATACACATACATGTGGAGACACACACACACGTGAAGACACACATACACGTGAACACACACACACACGTGAAGAAACACACGTGAAAACATACACGCAGATACACACACAAGTCAAGACACACACACGTGAAGACACACATACACGTGAACACACACACACGTGAAGAAACACACGTGCAGACATACACGCAGTCACACAGACACGTTAAGACACACATACACGCGAGACACACACATACACGAGGAGACACACAGGTGGAGACACACACAAAAGACAAAGATCCCCCATATAGCCTTAACAGACTGTTGTGGCAAGTGCTGTTAGCGATCACTTATGAAGGCCAGCACGGCACACGAGGGGATGGGTGGCCAGCACCATCCCCGGCCGCATTTGTATCCCCAGTGACAATGTTTACACACTGCACCAGGTACTCATTTAAGGCTGAGTCGACCTAGGGGAGGTCCAAGACCGGTTCAGACACACACACGCATGAAGACACATATACGTGGAGACACAAACACACACGTGGAGACGTATACGCATCCACGTGCATCCGTGTTCACGCACCCCCGCGTGAACACAGGGTATATATCGGATACTAAAAGCTATGCATTAATTTATGTATACACCTCGTAAATATAAAAAAAGACATTTCAATTTGCATGCTCGGTGTGGATTTGTGCGTTTCGCGGGTGCGGGTTAAATTGTAGACGTGTTTGTAGGGTCTGAGCAATAGCACGCAATCATTCCTCCATATTTATTAATTCGTTTATTAAATGAAACATTAAAATTTTAACATGCGTCACATTTCATATGTAATTCTGTCAACAGACTAATAACAGGTTTTTTTTTTCCCGGAAAATGTATTAAAATCCACGTCTTAATTATATTTGCATCTGTCTATCGATATATTAATTTACTTGCCTGTTTATCTGTGTATATATGAATATCCGTCCGTCTATATGTCTATCCGTACATGCGTCTATCTGACATCTGTTTAATATTAATCAAGCACAAAATAATTATTCGCGTCGTTTTGGAGAATATCATACAAAGTAAACATCAGACATTCTTCCTCCGCGCATCTGTTCCTCCACGTGAAACATAAATGAATGACAAGGAGGCGAATGGTCTGATTATTCATGATTTTATGTGGGATGCTACATCGAGCATCAGTGTACGATGTTATGCGATGAGTAAGCTCAGGTCGAGAGAAATAATATAGCTTAAAAATGGCGAGTAATGTATTGTGTCATGTGCGAATTAGTTACGGCTATCGGCAAACATCTGTCTCGTTTTGTTTCTATACCGTGTTCATGTATGTATGTTTAACTTACTTCGCACCGTACGTAGCCAACCGTGCTAATCGGAGGTGCGGGGGAAGGACAACAAACTAAACACAAAAAGCTGTTTTAAAGACATGAGTTTTCAATCTAGATATTAAAGTGCATAGCTCCAGTGGCTTCCTAATATCGGAGAGAGGAGCATTCCAGACAGCCGCAGCAACGTATTTGAAAGCGTGCAATGTGGTGGCCGTCTTTGTTCGATGACTAGCCAAAAGCCGCTGTGATGATTATACCGGAGTTCGCGAGATGGTTTGTGTTCTTTGACGAGATCAGCAAGGTATTGTGGTTCATTTGTGGCATGCAATTTGTATGTAATGGGTTATGTGTGTGTGTATGGATGTGGACATGTGGGGTACGGTAGTGGAGTGACTAACGGACTGCCCTGCGAAGCCAGAGACCCGAGTAATATACATCGGCAATGGGGGGAGACAAAGGCGCCCGGGCGTGGTTATTGCCACACCATCCCTTCGTGCCTCGTTCCAACCTTCATAGGGGCTCACGAGCAACACTTTTATTAACATCCTGAGACATTTGTTTTTGTATGCAATGTGTTACACGTACACACGAACGCATCTCCACGTGTACATTCACGCACATCCACAAATACGCAGACACATGCACACACATAATTACATACAGCCACACACACGGACACACGCATCCACACATAAGCACACATACACACACGTCTCCGCTTTCAGCGTACAAATATATTAGATTACACACATAAATACACTTCAAGTATATGTTTACTGCATATACACAGTAGCGCTCCGTTCACCACCACGAAGGCATATCAATCTCGATGTACATGACAAGCAGACAGAGGTCATGTTTTCGTGTGCTATGCAATTGTTGGAAGCAGCGATCGTTAAACAATAAAAGTCGTCAACAAAACCGTGGCGTTACACTTGTTTCACAAAGATCAACAGAGCCACGCGGTCCATAGGCGGCCACCCTTAACCCTGACTCCATGTTGAACTTCTTTAGCACCGTACGTGCTATTAGTGAGCGCCTATGAAGGTCGACACGACGCATGAGGGGGTGGGTGGCCAGCATCACGCCCGACCGCCTTTGTCTCCCCAGTGGCGATATTTACACACCCCATCAGGTACTCATTTGAGGCTGAGATGATATTGGGACCGCTTCAGATAATCGTCGCTGGTTGTTTCCGGAATCGAACTCGGTTCACAGGGCTCCTAGTGCAGCGTGATAACCGCTACACTGCCGCTCCCCATACAAATAAATACACATGTGCACACATACACAAAAATACAAATATCAACCGTATCGCATTTAACAGACTGTTGGGGCAAGTGCTGTAACTGAGCAACAGCCGCCGTTCGCCACTAAGTGGCGGTGACATCGCCACGGCGCTTGTGCCAGGTTAAGTGCACTTTAAGGCCACGTGAATTGTCGAAGGTTCACCGACATGACCCAGCCAACGCAGCCTCGCCTGGCGGAAGAGCTCACTGACTGGGGCTGTGTTCAGATTTTTCATTGAAGGATCTGTCAGCTCCTCCTACAGTCCAGTCCGGTGAAACCCAGGATGGGTCGTATGCAGGCCAGCCTGAATGTTTTAAACCGGCAAGTATAGATAATGGAGGGCATGACTGTGGTGGAGAAGACATGGAGCTTCGAATGGAGCGACAGGCCAGGGTTGCTTCCACGTCGCACTACGATGCTGATGAGAAGATAATGCACTCACACATATACACAAACAGATGTTCAGACAAATACGTTCCAACAGAATTAAAGTGCACAACACAAACTCTCGTCTGATCTTAACTGTCTCTTAAAGGCCTTGATTTGCACCGAACGTGAACCCATTCACAAGCACACCGCGACAGAGATCACCGTTTAGTCGACACGATCGAGCAAGAGTACGATAGGTGGTTTTATTTGGCACACTGGTTGCGAGACTCACGATGGAGTTGCAGCCAGAGGAGAGAGGAAGCCAGAAAATACATCCGGCGCGGAGATGGAGCGATGAAATCGGATGGTGCTATTTGGATCTTTGCATCGCGAGACCATAAGAGGCGGAGACAGCTTGGGGAGGTCTTCATCCAGCGGTGGATAAATCATGGCTCTTTATGGGCACGGATCCCGAACCCCATAGTTTATCCTCCTCCGATAAACTCGATCCCTGCACCACCGTGCGGATTATGTGAGTTTTACGCGCCTGATGATGACTCCAGTAACAATGACAAGAATGGCACTGG